GCACCAGGCGATCAGCTAAAAAGTCTGAAAGTTTTTATTCTTAACGGGGTGACTAAATAAAGGAGTGGTATCCATTGCATTTCAGGGGCCAGAAAATTCATCTTCATCAGGTTTGGAACAAAAACCCACAAATGGATCATTAATAATATGTAAAAATTACATGAGGGATGAGGACCAACAATAAAATAAGCATAAAACATATAAATATATACAAATATACATTCACCGGCCACTTTATTAGGTACACCTTTTCAATTGCTTGGTAACACATATTGCTAATCAGTCAATCACATAGCAGCTGCTCAATGCATTTAGGCATCTAGACGTGGTGAAGACGACTTGCTAAAGTTCAAACTGAGCATCAGAATGGGAAAGAAAGGGGATTTTAGTGACTTTGAACGTGGCATGGTTGTTGGTGCCAGATGGGCTGGTCTGAGTATTTCAAAAACTGCTGATCTACTAGGATTTTCACACACAACCATCTCTAGGGTTTACAGAGAATGGTCCGAAAAAGAGAAAATATCCAGTGAGCAGCAGTCGTGTGGGCGAAAATGCCTTGTGATGTCAGAGGAGAATAGGCAGACTGGTTGCTGCGACAGTCAGATGGTAGGGTCAGAATTTGGCGTAAACAACATGAAAGCATGGATCCATCCTGCCTTGTATCAATGGTTCAGGCGGATTGTGGTGTAATGGTGTGGGGGATATTTTCTTGGCACTGGCAAGGTGTACCTAATAAAAAGGCTGGTGAGTATATATATATATATATATATATATATATATATATATATACAGTCATGGCCGAAATTGTTGGCACCCTTGATATTTCTCCAGGAAATCATGTATTCTCACGAAACGTATTGCATTAACACATGTTTTGCTATACACATGTTTATTCCCTTTGTGTGTATTGGGACAAAACAAAAAAAAAGGGAGGAAAGAAAGCAAATTCGACATAATGTACACAAACCTCCAAAAATGGGCTGGACAAAAGTATTGGCACCCTTTCACAACTGCGGATAAATAAGAATGTTACAAGCATGTGATGCTCCTGTAAACTCACCTGGGGCAAGTAACAGGTGTGGGCAATATAGAAATCACACCTGAAAGCAGATAAAAAGGAGAGACGTTCACTTAACCTTTGCATTGTGTGTCTGTCTGTGCCACACTAAGCATGGACAACAGAAAGAGGAGACGAGAACTGTCTGAGGACCTGAGAACCAAAATTGTGGCAAAATATCAACAATCTCAAGGTTACAAGTCCATCTCCAGAGAACTAGATTTGCCTTTGTCCACAGTGCGCAACATTATCAAGAAGTTTGCAACCCATGGCACTGTATAATCTCCCTGGTCGTGGACGGATGAGGAAAATTGATGAAAGATTGCAACGCAGAATAGTCCGGATGGTGGATAAGCAGCCCCAAACATGTTCCAAAGACATTCAAGCTGTCCTGCAGGCTCAGGGAGCATCAGTGTCAGCGCGAACTATCCGTCGACATTTAAATGAAATGAAACGCTATGGCAGGAGACCCAGGAGGACCCCACTGCTGACACAGAGACATAAAAAAGCAAGACTACAGTTTGCCAAAATGTACTTGAGTAAGCCAAAAGCCTTCTGGGAAAACGTCTTGTGGACAGATGAGACCAAGATAGAGCTTTTCGGTAAAGCACATCATTCTACTGTTTACCGAAAACGGAATGAGGCCTACAAAGAACAAAACACAGTACCTACGTAAAATATGGTGGAGGTTCAATGATGTTTTTGGGGTTGTTTTGCTGCCTCTGGCACTGGGTGCCTTGACTGTGTGCAAGGCATCATGAAATCTGAGGATTACCAAAGGATTTTGGGTCGCACTGTAGGGCCCAGTGTCAGAAAGCTGGGTTTGCGTCCAAGATCCTGGGTCTTCCAGCAGGACAATGACCCCAAACATACGTCAAAAAGCACTCAGAAATGGATGGCAAAGAAGCGCTGGAGAGTTCTGAAGTGGCCAGCAATGAGCCCAGATCTAAATCCCATTGAACACCTGTGGAGAGATCTTAAAATTGCTGTTGGGAAAAGGTGTCCTTCCAATAAGAGAGACCTGGAGCTGTTTGCAAAGGAAGAGTGGTCCAAAATTCCGGGTGAGAGGTGTCAGAAGCTTATTGATGGTTATAGGAAGCGACTGATTTCAGTTATGTTTTCCAAAGGGTGTGCAACCAAATATTAAGTTAAGGGTGCCAATACTTTTGTCCAGCCCATTTTTGGGGTTTTGTGTGACATTATGTCATATTTGCTTTTCTGCCTCTGTTTTTATATTTGTTCCAATACATACAAAGGGAATAAACATGTGTATAGCAAAACATGTGTTAATGCAATACCTTTTTTGTGTGAAATACTTGATTTTCAGGAAAAATATCAAGGGTGCCAACAATTTCGGCCATGACTGTATATATAAAATGCAGATAACATTTTTGATGGAAGTATGCAAAAATCTGCAGGTGGAATAGCACAGTTTTTCTACACCTGTATGTCCAAAGCGCAAGTATTGTATATAAATTTTTTTAAAAATGACAAAAATAAATATATCCCAAAATATATGTATAATCACTCTATAATTAGTTAAATGGGCTGCAAACGCATCTCATCTTATATTCAAGCAATATGTTGCATTTTTGACAAGCAGACCATCGCAGCACCCAAATGCATTGCAGTACGCTAAAATACTGCATTGCCTTGGTGCATTCGGGTGCCATTCAAAATGAAGGTCACCACCATGCACCACATGTGCTTTGCAGTAAAACACTTTTAATAATATGGGAGTTGTCCTCAAACTTCAACCCGCAACAATATAACATCCCCGCCATCCCTGCATACATTCAAAAAAAATAAAGCATTGGCATCAGTGGTGAAGTAACTGCACAGATAATTTTGCGAGGATTTTAGAGTCATTACACGTGTGTCAGTGTACGACGATGAATAAAAACCTTTCTCATTTGGTAAACATGCCTATTTAATTAAGAGATAGGTACTGCCAGATTTGAGTCTGTTGTGTCCTGCAGATGAAAATGCATATTGTGAATTACTGTCCTACTGTGCAGGAGAGATTAGCTGCATTACTGAAATGGGAGAGAATTGGAAGATGGGGAAGGCTGTTTAACAAAGCAGAGAAAATGATAATTTCTTCAAATGGAAATCCTTTAAATTATTAAGAATAATAGTTTTACGTTTTATTCTTACTGTGCTAATTATCGTTTCAACACCAGATTCCTGCTTCAGAATCCTTTAATCCTCAGTCCCTCAGGCATCTTTCTGTATATGTTCCCTGATTATGAAACAAGATCATTCATGATCCCTAGGTATGGGGTTCGAAACAAGGCTAGAACACTTCAATACAAAGCTAGAACAGTAGTAATAGTGGCTGCTATCTTTGCTTTACTGGATTTGGTGTAGGCATACACTGAAGGTCTTCAGCTGCCTTTGGTGTAGGCATACACTGTAGGCCTTCAGCTACCTTTGGTGTAGGCACACACTAAAGGTCCCCAGCTCCCTTTGGTGTAGGCACACACTCAAGGTCCCCAGCTCCCTTTGGTGTAGGCACACACTCAAGGTCCCCAGCTCCCTTTGGTGTAGGCGCACACTCAAGGTCCCCAGCTCCCTTTGGTGTAGGCGCACACTCAAGGTCCCCAGCTCCCTTTGGTGTAGGCGCACACAAGGTCCCCAGCTCCCTTTGGTGTAGGCCACACTCAAGGTCCCCAGCTCCCTTTGGTGTAGGCGCACACTCAAGGTCCCCAGCTCCCTTTGGTGTAGGCGCACACTCAAGGTCCCCAGCTCCCTTTGGTGTAGGCACACACTCAAGGTCCCCAGCTCCCTTTGGTGTAGGCACAAACTCAAGTTCCCCAGCTCCCTTTGGTGTAGGCACACACTCAAGGTCCCCAGCTCCCTTTGGTGTAGGCACACACTCAAGGTCCCCAGCTCCCCTTGGTGTAGGCACACACTCAAGATCCCCAGCTCCCTTTGGTGTAGGCACATACTGGATGTCTTCAGCTGCCTTTGGTGTATACAAAGACTGGAGGTCTTCAGCTGCCTTTGTGTAGGCACACACTGGAGATTTTCTTTAGCTGGCTTTGTTGTAGGCCCACTGAACGTCTTCAACTACCTCTGGTGTAGACCAGTGAAAATTATAGAGGACCTCAAGTGCGGCACATGACACTTCCAGAGGGAAGCACAGTAGCAGCACAACCCCTGCATTAGTGGTCATTGGATTCAAATTTAACCCGTCACTCCCTGCATTGGTGGTCAGTAGCAGTGAGAGTTAAACCATCCCCCCTCCGCACTGCTGCCCATGGCAGTGAAAGTTAATGCCCCCCGCATGAATAGCCATAGTCAATCAACCCAAATTAGTTCTCACTTACTTGATTACACACTTCTGTGCCATTTTCTTCTACTGTGGCTGGAGATAACAGCCTCACAGTGCAGTCCTTCTTTTAGTACTGGGTGCGGGAACACAGAGAGCATTCCAGCGCCCTGCACCTCACTGCCACTCTGCTGCCTATTTGGTGTCCATTAGCCCTGTGTTGGGCTCAAGAGGTGTAGACAAACAATGGAGGTCTTCAGCTACCCTGGGTATAGACACACAGGAGGTCTTTAGCTGCCTTGAGTGAGTCTTGGCTTCGAGAGCACTGTTATACTAATAAATGACTTATAAAACAATAAAACCTTGAATAACCAATGCTTTGCCAAGTAAATAGTTATCTCTCCCATAGAGAAGAGAAATTATTGATTGAAATCTCTTCAAAAACAGACACTTCCAGGAGTGTAAACCTCCCACTGACCCCTATGTCACTACCAGGGGTGGACTGACCATTCGAGCACTCGGGTACTGCCCAAGGGCCCAGGGTCAGTAGGGGGCCCCATGAGATGCCCCTGGTGCCTTTCAGAGGCTTTTTTGGGTGTGGTTTGAGTGTGGGTGAGGACACAGGGGCCCCATGATCCCCTATTGTCCAGGGGCCCCATGAGTTGTCAGTCCGACCCTGGTCACTACAGGACATGGTAACATTCCAAGTTGGAAGCCCAGAAAGTCTGAGGAGAGTTGGGGACTGCAATTTGTAGAGCTGCCTTGATGCAGCAGTGTGGCGCTATATGTGTGTTTACAGTGAGTACGAAAGGAGTTCAGCTTTAAAGCATATCTAAACCCAAGAGCAAACATTTAATATTTTGCAGCATAGCAGCAACAGATGTCATGGCTGTTTTAGTTTTATTTTGTAAAGCTTTCTTTTCCTTAATTTCCACCTGATAATCCTGCTAATAACACTCTTCCTGTCTCTATTCCTAAGGTAAAAAAAGAAGAGGGTAAAGCGCCTCTAAGGACAGTAGTGATAGTTATTATAGGCAGAGAAGGTTAAAAACACTCACAATATTAGTGGAATAAAAGGTTCATCTGTAAAGTACACCGTTCCGAACGTCCAGCCTCGATGCCATCAGTACTGTACTTAGAGGTGCTTACCCTTCTTGTCTTTTTGATATAACAAAGCCCTCTTCTACTCTTTGTGAGAGCTGCCAAAGTGCCTGGCTGCCCCAGTTTATACAAAAACAACACCTCCTGCACTCAGGGACCCAGATCAGAAGTGGGCGGATGGATCAATTACTGTGAAAATTCATCCATCAACCGATCAAAGGTTGTTCAGCTCTTACACAAGGCTGGGGAAGCCCAACATAAACTGCAATGAAGAACAAAAAAAAGCGCACCAACCTTGCGCATTACCTCAGTAAAAAAGAGTGCTTTTATTGAATTAAGATATATATACTCACAAAAGTGGCAATATAGAAGGCATATAAAATCCAAAATCGGAATCCCATCGAGAGGCTGAGCTCTGAGGAAGAAGGGATCTCCCTTCGAAACACATCAGCTTCACCCTGAGCTGAGCTCTGAGGAAGAAGGGATCTCCCTTTGAAACACATCAGCTTCACCCTAAGCTGAGCTCTGAGGAAGAAGGGATCTCCCTTCGAAACGTGTCAGCTTCACCACAAGCTGAGCTCTGAGGAAGAAGGGATCTCCCTTTGAAACACATCAGCTTCACCCTGAGCTGAGCTCTGAGGAAGAAGGGATCTCCCTTCGAAACACATCAGCTTCACCCTGAGCTGAGCTCTGAGGAAGAAGGGATCTCCCTTCGAAATGGGTCAGCTTCACCATGAGCTGAGCTCTGAAGAAGAAGGGATCTCCCTTCGTAACATGTGAGCTTCACCCTGAGCTGAGCTCTAAGGAAGAAGGGATCTCCATTTGAAACGCGTCAGATTCACCACGAGCTGAGCGCTGAGGAAGAAGGGATCTCCCTTCGAAACGCATCAGCTTCACCACGAGCTGAGCTCTAAGGAAGAAGGGATCTCCCTTCAAAATGTGTCAGCTTCACCCTGAGAGTCTCCCCTCTTGATTGTATCCGCACGTGTCTCCTACTCCATTGTTCCGCTATTGGAATTTATATGCCTTATATATTGCCACTTTTTTGAGTATATATCTTAATTCAATAAAATCACTCTGTTTTACTGAGGTAATGCGCAAGGTTGGTGCGGTTTTTTTTAGTTCCTCATTGACCGTAGTTTATACCAGACCGTCATTAAAGACTCCATAAAGAGGCCAATTCTTTTCAGTGCGCCCTCAATATTGTGTGTTTTCTCTGGTCCTAGGGTGGCAGTGCCCACTCATCATAGTGTATGCGTAGTATAGCATCATTGTGACTTTCGGACAAAAATCCCCCACCCTTCACCCCTTCTACTTAACACAGAAGGTGGTGTTCTGTGGTCCTAAGAGATAGCCAATAAACAATATAACTAATAACAGTCAGTACAAGCAGAGGTCGCAGGATGTTATTGGCTTACAAGGTTTATGGCAGGACCAACATATATTTTATTTTATTCAATATATATATAATAAAATGCTTTCAATTGTTAGGGTTTACAAACACTTTAACAGTGCTTTAAAAGTAAAGCAATTGTAAAATCCAGATGAACACTTGCTGTTGTGAATGAACCATACTTTTTTTTTTCAATACTAATTAAATAACTGGAGATTTTTCAATTATTCAATCAGCAGATTGTTGGCATTCATACAGTTGAATTACTTGTAATCAGTGGAATGAAATATTCAGTTGGTTTTGCAAGCGGACACGCTGCCAAGGCGTTCATTTGTGGAGTGACAGATGCAGAGTTTTGAATCAAGTTTTGAAAGTCAAATGATTTCATACCAGCAAGCGACTCTGTTGGTGGCTTCCAGTAAGTTAGTAATAGCAATACAATAGGTTTTGCCTGGAGTTAAGCCTTAAATCTCCAGTATCTACCAAGCACGAAAATAGCAGATGGACAGACTGTTTAAAGAAGACCTGCAGTCAGGGGCGGACTGATCATTTGGAAACTCGGGCACTGCCCGAGGGTCCGGGGTCAGTAGGGGGCCCCATGAGATGCCCCTGGTACCTTTTTCATAGGCTTTTTTGAGTTTGGGCAAGGACACAGGGGCCCCATGATTCCCTATTGCCCGCGGGCCCCATGAGTTGTCAGTCCGCCCTGCCTGCAGTCTAATTTAAAGCATCTCTATAGCTTCTAATAGTAGAGCTATTTAAAAGCCCAGATGTAACCCAAACATATTTTCTTCTAATTTTTGAAAGGTGCCATGGTTGCTAATGTGATATCCTAAACCAGACAACCAGAATAATTTGCCTTTTCCAAAAAAACAACTTTACTTTGATCAATTCTATTTCTTCATGTTGACTTCTTTCTATAACTGTCTATATTTGGCTTGCTATTGGTACATGGGAGTTGTGTTAACTTCACAAGAACTAATGAAGAACGGAGAAGTTGCAAAGTCTGTGATGACCTCAGAATATCTTAAGTGCTAAAGTAGGAATGATATTTCCCGCTGCGGAAACTGTAACACATTTTTTTTTAACAGTAATTACCTTGACTTTGAGTTCCAAAAAAAATACTTTTTTCCCTTGCTTTTTCATAAGTTATTTTTCTCTCTCTCGTTAGTGGTTAAAGTGTACCTATCATTTACACATAATTAAAGCATTACTTAAGACGTATATTTTGTTTTTTATGGAACAAGGAAAGGTTAGAGACTCTCTCAGGTTTTTTATTTTTGTCGATGCCCCTTTTGAAGATATTTCCCCTAATTTCCTTTCTGGAGGGGATGGGAAATCCCACCAATGGGAACACAGAAAAAAAAAACACATTTTCAGTACAATGAGTAAATGTTGCTTTAGATAATACTGTCTGTGCCTTTCTGCCCTGGTGACAACCATTAAAGCAGTAATTTTGTAGGCTGGACTTCTGTTTAAAAAAATAAAGGCATTTTACTAGAAGCTGATGACATAAGCACATACCACATATATAGTCCTTTCTTTAATCGTATCCTAAGGGAACAATAGGCCATTAGCTAAAGACCTCCAGCTCAATAGCCCCAACAACCCCAAGATCAGTCTGCCTAAAATTAAAATACTCTTTATGGCCAAATGTCTATAAATACCTGACCATCCCATCCAATTCTGAAACCCTGGGCATTAATATGCAATTGCCCCCCGTGCCCACTATCCTTTGTGACTATAAAGGTGGCCACACATGTATGGATATGATCACGCAACTGATCATTTAATATGATAAAAACTGAATAAAAATTGCAAACCAAATGTCTCTCACTAGGTCTATTTGGTAAGTTTGCAATTATTTTAAAGCCACAGGGAACCTCTGCTAAAACCATTCATTGGAGGCCAGTGGAAAAAAATGCACCTTATATTGGTAGTCAGTGGGAAATATGTCCCTCTTGCAGTGGTGGTCACCTTTATGGACAGCTAAAAAGATCTTTCATTTAAAGCCTTTGGCTCTTTCCAATGGCATTGTCCCCAGAGCTATGTAGGCACCAACTCTTAAAACTTTTGGAGGAACCGTGGTTGAGAATGGCTGATAACTGACAGACCATAATTTGATCAATATTTTCAGTCAACTGCATATGCAGAATAATGCCGTGTGTGTTAAATTTTTCAATATTTTAATTGACGATGAATTCCTTGTTTGTGATTGTTTCTACTTAAATTGATCACAGATTGCTATGTGTATGGCCACATTAACAGCCCTAATCTTCTGGTAAGGCTTACCACAAGATTTTGGAGTGTGTCTGTGGAAATTTGTTCCCATTCAGCCCAAAAAAAATGCGTGAAGTCAGGTATTGATGCTCGATCACAACCTGGCTTGCAAAGATTGATCTTCACTCACCAGCTAGTAGCGTGGTGGAGCCCCTTTTGCCTTTAGAACTGCCTTAAATTTTGTGGCATAGATTCAACAAGGTTTTGGAAACATTCCTCAGAGATTTTGGTTCATATTGACATGAGTTACTGTTGCCTTTCTATCATCTTGAACTAATCTGCCAATTCTCCTGTGACCTCTGACATCAACAAGGCATTTTCGTCCACTCAACTGCCGCTCACTGAATATTTTCTCTTTTCGGACCATTCTCTGCAAACTCTAGAGATGGTTGTGCGTGAAAATCCCAGTAGATCAGCAGTTTTTCAAATATTCAGACCAGCCCATCTGGCACCAACAACCATGCCACGTTCAAAGTCACTTAAATCACCTTTCTTTCCCACTCTGATGCTCAGTTTGAACTTCAGCTAGTTGTCTTCCCCATGTCTAGATGCCTTAATGCATTAAGTTGCTGTCATATGATTGACTGATTATCATTTTGTGTTGCCAAGCAATTAAACAGGCATACCTAATAAAGTGGCCAGGGAGTGTAGTTCATATCAAAGGTGTAAAGTAGGGTCAAGTGCAAGTCAATCACATGCTTCCACACCCAACTCATTAAACTATATCTTTGAGGAACTGGCTTTGTACACAGAAAAGGATCTTGCCACAAGGTTGGAAGCACACAGTTGTCTAGAATGTCTTTGTATGCTGTAGCATTAATAGTATCTTTCACTGGGAACACCTGAACTCCATTATTTGAGGAAGAGTCAACCTACTTTTGGTCAATAGACAAAAATACGGTATTCCTCCTATAAAAACCCTAAATGCACATAAACACTTTAACCCCAAAAAGTGTATAAATCAAGATATGTAAAGTGCTAATTAAAAATAAATGACAAATAAATAATAAATAATGATAATAACCAAAAAAAAAAAATGTCCAAAATAAATGTCCAAAAATTTTTTATATATAAAAAGTCCTCCAAAGAGCAGTCAGCAGGGTGGTATTCCAGAAAAGTGATAATCCCAATTTTTTCTTGGAGATCAAACCTCAAAAAAAGAGAACTCACATAGTGGAATACCTTAAATGCATAAAATCAAAGCGAACATCACTGCAAACGCATGTGAATTACACTGAACCACACGCATATGAATCACACCATACCACACAAGGTGAAGAAAAGTGAGTATAAGTGTGAGAACATGGATAACACTTTCATGCAGTGTCAAACCGTGAAAGTGTCCACATCTAATGGATGGATAATATACCATTACCAGAAATTTAGCATAAACCAGCGTGTAAATCCCATGCAAGAGACCACTTTGCAGATTCAGCAAGTGGGACATAGATTCCTCATCTATATATCCATAATTGTAGGTGTAATCACCAAGTATCCACAAACCTTTAGCCATATTCAGTAGTGTATGGGTTTTGGGTATAGTGCCCTCTTATAAAGGTTTTCTTGTATTGTATTCTACTGTGACTAGTACCATAAGCAGTTTGTGTTATAGTGTTTTAAAATCTCTTGGTCAAGAGCACTACAATTTAACCCAGAGAACTAATGATTTTTTTACTTTTATATTTTTTTTTTTTCAGAGTATAAAAGTAAGCTGGTTACCACCCCCCTCAGGAACTCAGAATGGATTTATTACTGGGTACAAAATCCGCCACAGAAAAACCACCCGGCGGGGGGAGCTGGAGACAATAGAACCCAACAACCTATGGTACTTGTTCACAGGTAAGTTTTCCCTTCCAGGTCCTCCCCTTGTGTAACCAAAATTGTAATCTTATTAAAATTTTTAGTACAACAAACTGATTACACCACTGTATATAGGCATCATCCAGCACCTACTTTCCCTTGGTGTAGTAGGTGAAAAAACCCCAAAAACGTTTAAGTATGAGATGTACATGTCCCATCCCCCATCACACAACTCAGTGCTCAGTGGTCAAATGACCAAAGCCTTGGGTACATGCCTAGCTATATGCAAACACTGAGTTCTGGATATTAGGTGTTTCGTTATGATGTTTGGGGGCTGGGGTGAACTAAAGGGGCATGTGGTTTCTTTATTATTATTATTTATAGACGCATTTGAGAGGTGTGCTTTAAAACAAAAATCATTTATTTGGAAAAATGAAATCTTTTTATACAGTGTTAAAATACTTATCCGTACCGCAACTCAAACATATAAATAAATAAAATAAATAAATAAATAAACAAACTTGTTTTTAGTTTGTAGCTTGATTGCATCTAAAAATGTATTGATTAGAGATGAGCGAATTATTCAAAAATTCGATTCGGCTGATTCGCCGAATTTGCGGGAGAAATTCGATTCAATGCGAATTTATTCGCTGCGAATTTAACTTATTAAAAGGGTTTCTAGGCTTCAGAGAGCCTTTATATTAGTGCAGAACACTGTACCTTTAATTTAAATGCCCTTGGAGTCTGCTGGGAAGAGAAATAATACTGTCAGTCAGTATGACATGCAGATGAGTGCCGTCGATCTTAGAATCACCGCACACTTCACTCATTTGGGCAGTCACGGGGCACGACGACGAAGAAGAAGAAGAAGAAGAATGAAAAGAAGAAGAATGAAAAGAAGAAGAAGAAGAAGAAGAATGAAAAGAAGAATGAAAAGAAGAAGAAGAAGAAGAATGAAAAGAAGAAGAAGAAGAAGAAGAAGAAGGAAAAGAAGGAAAAGAATGAAAAGAAAGAAGAAGAAGAATGAAAAGAAGAAGAAGAATGAAAAGAAGAAGAAGAAGAAGAATGAAAAGAAGAAGAAGAAGAAGAAGAAAAGAAAAGAAGAAGAAGAAGAAGAAGAATGAAAAGAAGAAGAAGAAGAAGAAGAAGAAGAAGAATGAAAAGAAGAAGAAGAAAGAAGAATGAAAAGAAGAAGAAGAAGAAGAATGAAAATAAGAAGAAGAAGAAGAAGAAAGAATGAAGAATGAAAATAAGAAGAAGAAGAAGAAGAAGAAGAAAAAGAATTAAAAGAAGAAGAAGAAGAAAAGAAAGAAGAAGAAGAATGAAAAGAAGAAGAAGAAGAAGAAGAAGAAGAAGAATGAAAAAGAAGAAGAAGAAGAAGAATGAAAAGAAAGAAGAAGAAGAAAAAGAAGAATGAAAAGAAGAAGAAGAAGAAGAATGAAAAGAAGAAGAAGAATGAAAAGAAGAAGAAGAATGAAAAGAAGAAGAAGAAGAATGAAAAGAAGAAGAAGAAGAATGAAAAGAAGAAGAAGAAGAAGAATGAAAAGAAGAAGAAGAAGAAGAATGAAAAGAAGAAGAAGAAGAAGAATGAAAAGAAGAAAAAGAAGAAGAAGAAGAATGAAAAAGAAG